AAGAGGTAAAAGCGGCAACAAGAGGGGGGCGGGGGGGGGGGGGGGGGCGTCAAGGACAGGGGGGAGGGGAGCCCGGCATCCAATCCTGGTCGGCAAGCCACTAAGCACAGGAAGAAGGCTTTGACCTCGTCTACCCTCCTCCTAACCCACCCTCTGCCCGGGACCTGCCCCCCAAGACCCGACCTCCAAACTGAGCCAAACTGAAAGGAGGATTGAAAGAGATCTGGGGTGCAGAGCCGGGGAGGGAAGGAGGCAAGCTTGGCACGGGGAGGCAGAGGATAAGCAGATGAAGAGCAAAAGGCCAAGGACAGAGCAGAGGGGCAAAGGCTCAGAGAAATCTGGAGTGAAGGCAAAGTCCAGAGAGTCGTTTATGGAGATGAAAGAGCCGTGCTATCTAAAACTGTTTTTGGCAAGATGGTGGACATGACCCTAGCGGGGGGCTGGGTGAAGCCGCTTTTCAAACCACCCCCAGCAGCTGGCTGACGGCTGAGGCTGCAGCTCCCATCTGCACCCTACCCACCTGTCACCCAGGTAACTCAACCTCTGAGGGTTCCAGCTCTGCGTTCTTAACTTCAATCCCAAGGCTCAGCCCCCCTCCCCTCCTCCCCAGGCCTCCAGCCAGCAGCCCAGGGAGGCCAGGGTCAGCACCAACCCAGAAATGTGGGTCTCCTCTATGTCTGCTGAGTTAGAAACAGTTACAGTGCGAGCAAGCAGGTGGGGGGAGGGGTTACCCTGGCTGGCCCCACCCCACAGGCCACCCTCCCTAGAGGCCCCAGCCCACAAATCTCTCCACTTCCTGCAGAAGGGCTGGGGCTGGAGAAGGACCAGACCTCAGCTCAAAGTTCCAGTGAGCGGCCAAGGGCTGGAAGCAGCCCAGGAAGCCCGGTGTCCCCTGTCGCCACCGCTGCCAGGGTACCCCTCCCCCGATCCCCTCCCGGGCGGGCGCACAAGGCTCGGGTCCCCACGCCCGAGCCTTCGCAGGCTCGAGCAAGGGGCCAGTTTCCTGGAGGAGATCAGCAGGAAATCAGCTGGGCCCCTGGCCAGCAGCTCCCCTCCCAATCCAGCTGGCGCCCTCTTTGCAGCTCCCTTCAAAGCCCCTGGAGAGGGATGGGGAGGGGGCGTGGAGCCTCCTCCATTGCCCTTCCTCCTCACGGGGAGACGGTGAGGGAGGCTCTGGGTGCAGCACAACCAGCAAGCTCAGCGCAAGGCCCGCAAACCTAGCGGTCGGCCGGTGATAAGCATCTCTCCCATCCCCCCCCACTATGGGCATCCACGTGCTTCACATTCTTGGATGTCTGGGAGCGGGCGGAGGCGTGAGCTGCGGAGACTGGTGGGGGACAGATGGGGAGCCACTTCCTGTGTACCCCCTGTCCTCTAGTGCACTGAAATGGGGGCCGTGGGAGGGAAGCAAAGTCTCCAGGGCCTCGAAGTACCCAGCAGGTCCCTGCCCACAGCCAACCTGCTCTCTTCCCTCTGTTGGCGGAGGCCAGGAGGTATTCTCCAAGACGACTAGAGGGGACTCCAGGCACCAGACAGTCTCCACATAGGTAACGCGGGACGCCACCGCCTCAGAGCAACTCTACAGCCTCCTGAGGACATCCCACAGCCCCCTGTATGTGCAGACAGTGCTCCACTTTCCCCTGTCCACGGAGGTGTGCTCCTGCACAGGCCGTCTCCCCAGTTCCCTACCAGCCTCCTCCCTTCAAGCTCTGGGCCAGGAAGAGCTCAGCTGTCCTAGAGGAAGAGCTAGAGGCTGGACCCCCGGGGACCTTAGATCCCAGGTTCCCCCAGCGCTACAGAGAAGGTAGCAGGAAAGGAAAGCCCGGAGGCTCGGCCCAATTATTCTCCCAATTATTCTACCCCAGCCTTCCCACAGTGCTGGGGTAATAGGAAGGGTCAAGGTGCTACCTCTCAGTTCTCCTTTTTTCCAAAGCCAATGATCACCCACCCCTCCTCGTCGGAAACCTCACAGCTGATTCTGCCTCCGAGGCAAAGGTCAGGGGGCAGGACAAAAGGAAAGGCTGGACAGAGGTGTCTCTGGAAGGGCAGGGGTGGGCTGTCATTAACCCCAGGTCTCTTACCAGGCAGGAAGGGTTGTAGGTGGGCAAATCCTCTCTACTCCAGCCTTCTCCAATATGCTGCGCCAGTGGATCTCGGCCTTCCTAATGCTGCCACTCTTTACTACAGACCATGTGGTGGTGACCCCCCCCCATCATAAAATTACTTTTGCTGCTACTTCCTAACTGCACTTTTGCTACCGTTATGAACTGTAATTATCCAATATGCAGGACGGCTGATGAAGGACCCGTGACCACCCCCACAGGGGTCACGACCCACAGAATGAAGACCACTGTGCTAGGCCTTTAAGAGATCCAATCTTCCCTTGCTCCCTAGCGCGCAGAAGGGTGGCAGCAGGTATGGGAAGGCGGGGGAACCCCCTGGGAAGAACAGATCCCACAGCAGAGTGGGGAATGAAACCTGAGCCACCTAGCAATGATACCCTAGCCAGAGCTTCCTACCCATCTAATGTACACTATCTCACAGCCGGGCATAAACATGCCCAGGTGTGCACCCTGGGGCATGCGCACAGGTCCTGGGTGTGAACAGAACCCTCCTCCCTCCCAGCAGAGCCTGAACCCGTTTGAACCACGCTGGAGAGGGTGCTAAGCCGCCAGGACATCAAGGTTCATATCAGTTGTCCTTCCTAACAGCATACGGTCTGGCCCTATTTCCCTGGACAGGGTAATAACAAAAGGTGAGTGGTGGAAACGCATCACCAGGCCTTAAAAACCAAACATCCCCTAGAGAACAACAGTGGTAAGAATTAAAGGAGGATTCTTCACGGCAGCTTCTCCCATGTCCCCAAGCATAAAAGCTTCCAGGACGTCTGCTAGGCTAGGCTAGGCGTCTGGGGCAGACCTTTTCCCCAAGATGGGATAGGTTGCCTCTGAAAGTGTAAGGGATGGCCAGGAAGGCAACTGTCTGGTGAAGTCCCTTTCTGCCACACCCCACTATTAATACCAAAGTCAGGGAGCGGTCCCCTACCACCCGAAACAGCCAAGAGCAGGGGCTGGGGGCCAGTGACGGCCACACAGCAGAGAGCTCTCCCTAGGCTTCTGGCAGGGGTGGGATCTGGGGAGGTGGTCCCTCCTCTTCGGGACAGACAAGCCCACAGCCAGGACCTTCACCCCACCCTCCAGCAGGCCGTGGAGCTGCGGGATCCTAACCAAGATGTCAATGGAGAAGGCCAAGGGCTGGGATATCACGTCTCCTGGAGAGGGAATGCTCAAAGTTACTGAGCTAGCGAGCCAGGGTCACTGGGTGGAGGGCAACTGTCCAGCCAGGACAACCGACAGACGGAAAGTGACCGGTAGAGGCCCCCACCGGCACCCCCACCCCATCTCCTACTGTAGCACAGTGGAGGCCGGTACGTACAGTGGTTTGAGCCATTCCAAAGCGGAGTCCGGAGCGGGGTGTTGTACGGACCCGGGGCAGGGAGCCCCTTCTCCGGAAGCAAGCAGGCCCGGTTCTGGTTGTAAAAGTCCACCACTAGGAAGGGGTTAGGGGCCGGGGCGAGCCCCCCGACTTCCACACTCTCGTACATCTTGCCCCACGAAGGTCGGAGATCCAGGGGGTGAAGTCCTGCAAGGGGCTCCCGTCACTCAGCCGGAGGCGCCATCCGAGCGAAGCAGCAAAGGGACAAGTCCCCTCGTCCCGGCGGGCGGCCCCTCGGCGGGGCGCCCTACCCAGAATTGCCCGCGTTTAAGTCCGCAGGTCGCTCCGCCGGTCCCAGGTGAAAAGCGGGAAGTTGTGCGGTCTGGGAGGAGGTCCCTCGGAGCTCGCTCGCAGGGAACGCCCGGCGGTCCGAGAACTCGAGGCTCCGGTGTCCCAGGCAGAGTCCAGAGGCTCCCCAAGTCCGCCGGCCCGGGGCGGGATCAGGGCGGAGACGGGGGTCACCGAGCACTTCCTTCTGCCGGCCGGGGCTCCCGGGCTTCTCCGTGGCTTAGATTCCGGGTGCGGGTGGGGGAACCCCCATACGGCCCCGCCTCCGCCAGGCCCGGCGGCGGGCCACTTGCTCGGTCTCCGGTGTGCGCGCTCCCCCCACCCCCCCAGCCCGCGCGCCCCCTCTCCGGGATCCCAGCCTCTTTTGCCTCCGCCCCGCCCCGGCCAGGCGCCGCCCCTGGCTTTAACCCTTTCCCGGCGGGTCCCGCTGCACGGGCGAGAGACAGGGAAGCGAGGGCCAGAAGAGTGCACATGGACATCGAGTGGGGGAGCCTCGGAGAGGGAGCAGAGGCGGGAAACGCACGGAGCACAGAGCCAGGCTGGGCATGAAGAGCAGGCACCAGGAGGCAGGACTTAGTAGTAGAGGGCATCCTCCCCATGCCAGTTCCGGTTCCCAGCCTCCCTGGTGCTTTTAGGTCAATCCCCAGCCGGGCGATGCTGCTGCGGGAGGTGGGGTGGTCCCGGTGTCCTCCCCCTAAACACACACACACACACACACACACACACACACACACACACACACACCCAGCCCCGGCTTCATTTGCCTAATGCAATGCGGCTGAACTCTCCCTGAACTCGCTTGGCGGCGCCTCACCTCCGGGTGACCCACCCAGCGCTGCCCGTGACATCACCCGCTTGCCAAACCGCCCTCGGGGCTCGCCCACCGGCCCCCTTCCCGGCCCCGTCCGGCCCCAAACTCCATAAACGCGGGCAGTGGGCCCAGGGCCCAGATGCAGGTGACCCGGCCTTAGAACCACGAATGCGGCATGCTGGGTGTCCCCGGTGTGACATTGTGCAGCTTGGACGCTGTGTCGGAATGAGACATCCAGCTTGTGTCACTGTCTGTGACATCATGTGAGGCTCCCGGCTGCCGGCTCACCCGCCGGAATCAGACGCGGCAGAACTGAGCTGTTAGCACAAACACAAGCGGGGAGCTCTCCTCCCACACTCTGCGTGCTTCCGGTGAGCAAAGCTCCGCCCAGGGTGTCTCCCAGCCCTGGAACCAGGATGGACCAGCCCAGGACAGATAAAAGGAGACACTGGTGCCTTCAAGCTGTCCATTTCCTCCCTAGGATGTCGGTTTCGGTGGAGGGAAGGCCGACCTTAGGTAGGTCCCTAAAAAGAAGGGGTAGCCAGGGAACACCAGGGTATCCTGTTTATCTGTCCTGCTCTCTTAAAGGAAGGGTAAGAAGACAGGTTAACAGGTTCGAGAGGCCAGGTTTTGTCTGTCTGTGAGGTCCAGAGATCCCCACGCTTGCCCAGCAAGCATTTGAACAAATGAGCTACTTCCTTGCCCAAAGCCAGGTCCTTACAGTATGCTGCCATTTAATTCTCACAGCAACTCCAAGAACCTTAACGGACAGGCCTGGAGGTACAAGATTACTGTCCCTGCTGCTTGGGAGACAGAGGCAAAAGGCTCACAGATTCAAGGCCAGAATGAATCAACATTTTATGAGCATATACAGTGAAATGGTGTCTCAAAATTTTAAAAAGTAGAAATAAAAAAATAAACGAACTTAGAGGTGTTGCGTGCCATACATGTCCAAAATCCCAGCACTGGGGAGGAGAGCGGGGAATTAAAGAGTTCTAGGGTCACCCAGTGCAGGCTACAGAGTGAGTTCCAGGACAACCAGGGCTACAAAGAGGGAAAACCCTGTCTCTAAAAACAAAACAAACCAAAAAATAAATAAAAATGGAACTCTCTGCCACTGAAACTGATGTTCCCACCAAAGCAGGTCCACTCAAGAGAAATTATATTTTCTGAGTGCTTTCCATATGGCTGTCCTGGTGTGCAAGCCCTTAAAAGACTTTACAAAGTGACAAAAAAAAAAAAAAAAAGGACAAATAATCACACACTCACACATATACACTGCAAACCAACAAATGATATTATGAAACATAATATCATAGTGTGCTCTTAGGGGAAATTAAGTTCAAGAGTCAGAACTCTAGACAGAGACCTAAGGAAAGATGAAGTTCAGAGTCCAACAAAGAGGACAGACAGTGAGGCTGATAGCTGTGCAAAGGTCCAACAGCCACAGATGTTGGTGTGTTCATACTACCAACTGAAAAATGACCAGAAAGGATGAATAATAAAATTCCAAAGGAGGCAGTGGTGGAGCACACCTTTAATCCCAGCACTAGAGAAGCAGAGATAGGTAGATATCTGAGGATAGCCAGGGTTACACAAAGAAACCCTGTCTAAAAACAAAAACAAAAAAAAAAAAAATTCCAAAAGAGAAGGTAAAAACCAAGCCAGAGAGTAGGCTAAGGCCAGTCCAGACTAGATGGGTTTGTAGGCTTGAAGCCAAGGAAGGGTAAGTAAAGGAGAGGCAGAATTCCATTATAGTGTTTACACTTTTCCAGTTATGAAGAATGAGTTACAAGACAGCAAAGATGTCCAGTTAGAGGTCAGGCACGGTGGCACACACCTTTAATCCCAGCACCAGGGAGGCAGAGGCAAGGAGATCTGAGTTTGAGGCCAGCCTGGTCTACAGAGTGAGGTGCCAGGAGAGCCAGGACTACACAAGGAAACCTTGTCTTGAAAAAAACAACAACAACAAAAAGAATGTCCAGTTTGAAGTGCAAGCAGTAGACAAGGTTGGCTTAGCCTTAGCAGTGGTAACAGACGTTGGAGGACTCACAAGACATTTTGAAATAACATCTCTCTTATTGTATGTGTATATGTATACTACGGCATTCGTGTGGACGTCAGAGGAACACTTGCAAAGGGTATGGCGGAGCACACCTTTAATCCCAGCACTTAGGAGGCAGATGCTGATGGATCTCTTTTGAATTCCAGGCCAGCCCCAGCCAGATATATATGGTATGACCCAAAAAAAGTGTGTGTGTGTGGGGGGGGGCAGGCTGCTCTTCCAGATGACCCTGGTTTGATTCCCAGCACCAACATGGTGGCTCACAACCATTCCTAATTCCATTCTAGGTGATCCAACACCCTCTTCTGACCTGTGTAGGCACCAAGGGCACACACGGTGGACAGACAGGCATGATCACAAAACACCCCAAATCGAATAAACATAAAATAAAATTAAATCTTTTTTTTTGACAGGGTCTCTCTGTATAACCATGGCTGTCCTGCAACTCAATAAACCAGGCTGGCCTTGAGCTCAGAAACCCACCTGCCTCACAGTGCTGGGATTAAAGATATGTACCACCACAGCCCAGCTTAAAAGTTAAATCCTTTTAAGAGAGAGAGAGAAAAAAAAAAGAGGTTGAGAACTTTCTGGAACTGGCTTGCTTTCACTGTGTGGGTCACCAGGATCAAACTCAGACTGTCCAGCATGGAGCCAAGTGCCTTTACCCACTCAGCCATCTTCCTGGCCCTCACAAAAACTGTGCAAAGCAGGCAGTGCTGGGGAACTGGAGAGAGAGGATTCCTGAGACATAGAGAGTCTCCTTGCTGCAGGTCGGAAGGCTGTGGGACTCCCAGGAGAGGGAGTGCTGGGATTCAGGGCGAAATTGTGAGGCCTTGGCGTGGATGCCCTCCATATTTTTCTGCTCACTGACAGAGCTCCTGGCACCAGAGATGTGGCAGACTCCGTGCTCACAGCTTCAAGATGCTGAGGGGACCTGAGACTCTTGTCCCTCACCGTCAGGCAAAGATCTCCCAAATAACTGGCAGGCACTCAGTATAGAAATCAGGGAGAAGGTGACTTCATTTGTGGAGAGGTGAGTGAGAGAGAAGAATGCCATGGGTGTTCAGAGGAGGGACTGTGATGAGGAAGGGGACGCTGAAGAGGATTCTGGGAAGAGACTACATTCAAGATCTCCAGCTTTAAAAAAAAAAAAAGTCCCTTGAAGGATGAACAGGATTTCCGAAGCTGGGGTGAGAGGCCTGCTCTGGCAATCGTGAGGTCGAGAAGCAGGTCAAGGAGGAACGCAGTGTCCTGGGGCAGTGAGGGGGAAGGAGGAGGAGGAGGAGGAGGAGGAGGGATGGCTCTGTCCTGCAGTAGGAGCTGAGATACGGGGTAGCATCTGCCTGCAGGCTGAGACCTCACCCTGCTCAGCGTCCTCTCCCATCCCCAGCTCCCCCCCCCCCCCCCCCCCCCCCCCCAGGGCTTTGTGCTCAGCAAGCCCTTAGCAGGTATGGGCTGAATCCTCACTGCCACCACCCTCCCCCCACCTGTGCCAAGCAGGGCTCCCTTCTCTGCCCATAACAAACAGGAGGAGACCATCATCAGGTCCTAATACAGGGTGGCCATCCCTGAGACAATACCCAGCTCCACCCCTCCCTTGTCCTCACTGCTCTTCAAGGTACTTGAAGCTATCGGAGGACAACAGGCTGTAACCAGCAAGCGGGTCACAACGGCCTCGCCGCAAGCGGCCTGTCAGAGGCGGATCAGAAGGGCAAGGAGATTCAGAGAAAGGGTGAATGACCTGCCCAAGGTTGCACAGGAAGAACTGACTTCAAAGACTGCGCTGGCTGACATTTTCAGTAACTTGGGGGTCCAGCTGGGCAGGGGAGGACCTGGATTACTCATGCTACCAAGGGCCCCCAGTCTATCCTGACTACAGAGGGCAAGAAGGCATTGTCCCAGCATTATGTGGAGAAGGTTACCGTTTCCTCATTTTTACTGGATGCTACCCTACAAACACAAACACATACACACGCACACACAACACATACAAAGGCAGCAACTCTGGGCTGCTCTGGCACATCCCTACAGCACACACCCCCTGCCTGAGGCCCTGACTGAGGTCTAAAAGGAAGACAGGCCTTCCTTCCCTGTGTCCCCTCCCCCAATCCATGCTGGGATCCTACCCTGAGAGAGCCTGTACATTTATCCCTCCTGGAAGATAGATAAACAGTGAGGGGCCCCGTTTTTCAGCGAGGGTCTTTTTGGCTGACTCCTCCTTTTGGATCCCAAGGAAGGCATAGCTAGGCAGTACCCCGCCTCCCCAAAGCTGTCCTTCCCTTTGTCCCAGGAGGAAGAGTGGGAAGAAGCAAGGGGGAATGCACAAGTCTGCAAACCCCAGCAGGAGAAAGACACACCCCCTCCTCCTCCGTCTGGGCCTCCTTCTCAGGCTCCCCTAGACCTGGGCTCTGAGGGAAGAGGAGGAGGAGGGAACCTCGTCCCCGTATCTAGACAAGTACCCAACCAACATGTGGAAGGAAAATCTGTAGCCACCCTCTCAAGATCCTGTCCCAACTCCTCTATAGATTGCTTCCAACTTCCCTGCCCACCCCCGCGCCTCACAAATTGCAACAAAATATGAAAAGCAACTAGGACTGTTCCTTCAGAGTCGGTCGGGGATGGGGGGAGGAGGAGGAGGCGGCGGCGGCTGAGTTCTGGGAGCTCAAGGGCTGCAGGAGGGCAGAGTCGGGTTGGGTGGGGGTGTGAACAGATTGTATCCAAGGCTTCTAGGACAGGATGGAGATCTTTCCTGGGCCTCTTATCGGTCTCAAGATCCGAATCGGAGAAGGGGGCAGGGGTGAGGGGTGGAGAGGTGTACTCCCCTGCGGCCCCTACTGGGGAAAGTCAGAGGCAGGGTCTCCAGCAACCAGGACTGGTTTCAACGATGCAGGAGAGGCCCCAGAATGGACCCCTCCCCACCAGTCTCCTCCTAAAGCTATCTGGATGGTGGGAAACAGGCCCGCTTTAGCGTTCCCAGGACGGTTCTGCTCCACTCTGACCGCTCATCTTCTGCCCTTCCTACTCCGTAAAGGAGGCAGCGCAAGGTACCTCCACTGAACGGTCCAGATCAAGCTTTTTTTTTTTTTTTTTTTTTTTAAGGCACAGATAATGTCCTCAGTGGCCTCCCGTGCTACTAGGTCACATGCCAGGCACACACCGAGTGTGATCACCCGGATGAGTTCACCTAACTTGGCTCTCTTAGGCATCTGGCAGCGTCCCTGTGTCACAGAGGCAGAAATAATGCCAAGCGAATGACACAGGTGCCTAAGGTTTTGTTTTTTTTTTTGTTGTTGTTGTTGTTGTTGTTTTTTTGGGGGGGTGTCGAGACAGGGTTTCTCTGTGTAGCCTTGGCTGTCCTGAACTGGCTTTGTAGACCAGGCTGGCCTTGAACTCACAGCAATCTACCTGCTTCTGCCTCCCTGAGTTCTGGGAGTATAGGCATGTGCCACCAAAAAGGGGGGGTGGGGTGTCTAATTTTTTAACCTCGAAGCCCAAGGAATTCCAAGGATGCACAGGCAGTAAGGGTCCAGGAAACACCAGAGCATTAGAGGATGGGGCCCTTCTTTTTCCCATTCTGAAGCCCTCAAACCCAGGACACCTCTGCCCTAAATCATGCCTGCCTGGCCCCCAGCCCCACACCCCACCTAACAGCCCCAGCACACAAGCTGACATTCCTTTCCCCAGCTCTGGATTTGATTCTCTGCAAACACGGCTGAACCCCCTCACCTCGTCTAGCCATTAATCCCCCTCTCAACATACTCAGCCTTGACACCCTTCTCCCAGAAAACACACAAACCCTGACCCTCCTAAAACACCTCGGTAAACACCAGGCCTCAGGGGCCAAGCACCAAAGGGACAGGAGTCTAGTGCTATCTCTGGGGCCTCCGCCCTGGTTCCCTCGGAGGCTCAGCAGGCAGGACAATACCTATCTCTCCCCTCAGTGACCTGGAGAAACCTTGGCCCTCCCAACAGGTCACCTGCTCTCTGGAGAGCACACAGAAGACACGTAAGGTGCAACCTAGCAAGCGGGCTGGCATGGGGAGGCCATCTGACAGCTATGTGATGTGGCACTGGGACAGGGGGCCCAGAAGGTCACCAAGGCCAATAGCTGCTCCATGCAGAAAGGGGGAAAAAAAATAAAAGGCACTGCTTCTCACCTCCAGGAACTACCTGAACTGTGTCCTAGTCCCAAGGGGGAGGCTAAAGATGTAAAACTTAGCTGCTTCCAGGTACTAGAAGCACTGCAGGAGGGGGTTGGGATGCCTGGCTGTCTCAGACTCAAGCCCAGGCCTCTGGTCCCTGACCCTAGAAGGTGCTCAGGCTGGGTAGAGTAGGGAAGAAGTCTGTTGTTGTTTACTAGTCGAGGGGGAGGGGTGAGAAACCCACAGGCTCACATAGGAAGGGGGGGGCAGGAAGAGAGCATTGCCTAACCTGGGTGGAGAAAGCCAAAGAAGGCTGCCATTTGCCCGAAACATGGGCACCCCACCCTGGGAGTAGGTTACCAGGGTGGGGGCTCCGCCCACCCACCTCTAAGAAAGAGGAAGTCACTTGCAACACTCAGTCCAAGGCAGAGGATCTGCTTTGTCTCATAGGGGTCAGATCCCAAATTCCCTGGCAGCCAGGTTCATCTGTCCAGACCCCTGTTGAATTACCTGGGTAGGGACAAGTGGTCCACAGGTACCAGCTTACAGAGCCCCTAACTCCTTTCCTTCTCCTTTGTTTATGAGACAGGGTTTCCCTATGTAATGTAGCCCTGGCTGTCCTGGAACTCACTCTGTAGACCAAGCTGGCCTTGAACTCAGAGATCCACCTGCCTCTGCCGGGGATCAAAGGCTTGCGCCGCCGCCACCACCACACTGTTTAAAAATTCCCACCCTGGAAGAAAGTATAATTCTTGCAGCTCCTAGGATGGGCCACAGTGTTGAGCTCTCGTTCCCTTCAAATGCAGGGAGCATTTTTTACATAGGTGCACTTGCCCGGTCCCCAGCAATTCTGAGCCCCAGAGGCTGGTCTCCTCTTCAGCAAAGGCTAGGTAATCAGAACCAGAATGGGGGCCCTCAGGCTCTTCCATGTAAGGTGGAGAGAAGAGAAGGCAAAAATAAAGCATGAGGGGTTGAAGAGTCGCTGGCAGGAGGAAACCTGGGTAGCACTTGTCTGCAATCCAGCCCCACAGCATAAGAGATTGGAAACTTAAAGGAATATAGGCATAGACTATTTGCTCCTGAAGACTGGTGGGGCCTGGAAGGGAGGGGGCTTCAACAAAGCCAAAGGCGGCGATCCAGGAAGCAGTGGTGGCTGTGGGCAGACGGCCAGTTGTGGGCAGTGAGGCGCCCAGCCAGAGCCTGCCCGAGGGACAAAGAGACTCCCTGGCTCCAGGGAGAGCACTGCCCCCACACCAAGAAGGGGGCACTGACCCAGCCCAGTCCGGCACACAGGGCAGTGGTGCAGGCAGCTTGC